AAGTCCTTGAAATAGTACAGTAAGGAAAGAACTTAAAACTGCACAAAGCTCCTCTTGTTAATCTACTTTCCCATCCAGTGGGGGTAAGATTCTCTCATGAGACAAACACGTTGTGTTTTTCTTTCAACTTTTGAAGTAGTTTAAAGGCTTTCACGAAATTTGGTATGAGCTTCATGCCACTAAATGCCAAGCAACTAATGAATTCACATTTTCCGCAACTAATAACACCACTTTATAGAAAATAAATACGTGTGCATGTCCCTCCACCAGACTGCAACTCAGATTCGTATTATAAATGTCGGTAATGCAGTTTTGGAAAAGTATACAAAATTCAAACCCTTATAATTCAGACAAAGGTAGTTTCCAAAACGTTGAAATCTAGTACCATACGCACAGGGTTGTTTACCTCGAGAAGACTTAAATTTATAAGCCCATTTTATCTCCATCTTGAAATCCAAAACTCGCATATGTCATACAAACTGGCTGATATTATAAAACATTTAAAACTTCTTCTTTTTGATCCACACGCCAAATCATGATGTTTTTAAAATTTGCTTCCAGAAGGACCTAAGTGGTGGCGCGTCACTCATGCGCGAATTGCTACATGGGATGTCCGCCGTCATCCACATGTGGTTCTTCTGTTGGTTCGGATCCAACGTCACAACTCAGGTACCCCACTTTCTTGAGCCTGTTTTCACCTCAATATCTTTCGACCTGTCTCTCCACCGTCTGTAAATTCAGAGCTTAAATCTATTCTTCGAGCCACATTTCTTGATTTCTTACAAATGGGGTTCGGGAATTAGTATGACAGACACGACGTTTTCTGCTTCCTTTCAGAGTGGAGATGTGTTTCTTGCAGCATATGAGAGTAATTGGTACGATAAATCGCCACAAATTAAGAATTCGTTGAGGATGATCATCACTCGAGCGGGAAGGCCTGTAAAGGTAAAGGCGGGACTGATTGGAGCCATCGACCTACCTCTGTTTGCCACAGTAAGATCCACATATTCTTCTTCTTTAATGGAAACCCTGTCTAACGGTTTTTGAGTTATCCTAACCATCTTTTCGCCTTCGGCTTCTATTACGGCAATGTATAGTAACCGAGGGTATCATGCGAGAAGGGCATAATGATGATGGTACTCAATTGAGGGATACAGACATGTACATTTGGGCATACGAATGCTAATAGTGCACATTTAAAGAGCCAAATGAGAGTAAGAATTTAGTCTCCTGTGAATACACATTTTCCGTAAACGCCCTTCTGATATAAAAATCTCGGTATGGAATTTGGTTTAAATTCAGCCTTAGAATATGTTCCAACCAATTCGCACTGCAGTTATCCTGTTGTTTAGCGCACCCCTGCCATAAAGTTTATATAAATATAAATATACATGTGTATAGATCATTATACAGGCCTTATATTCCTTTGTGTATGTCGACGAAGGCGAAAAGCTATATAAATAGAAAAGTGACGGCTGTGAATGTTTTACATTCCGTTCTAATCAAAAATATCTTTTCTGTTTCAGATCGTTCGCACCGCCTATTCGTATCTGACATTGCTGATACAAATGAATGAGTTTTAGTAGACACATATTTCACAATTATCGGTGACAAATTAATAGGAATTTAAAATGTCCATTCATTATCCACCTGAATATATTAAGAAACACACAACTTTTTGGACATTAAGTTATCACCAGAATAGTTTCACCTTTTGTGGACACTTGCCTTTAGTTACAAACTGCTTCTTTTAAAAACAATTTTAATTTATGTTACCTGGATAATAAAAATGTCATTATGGTTTCGAGGGAACATGTTGCAGCAATAAACGACAGTGTCAAAGACATCGTCTATTTGTTAGAATCAAAAACATTATTATGGACGAACTGATTTGGATGGTTATTTAATATTGTAAATTTTTGCTGACATGTTTTCATTAAATTTAATAATAATATCGAATCAGAGAAAAAAGGCAGCCACCTTCAAGGAAACCAAAATAATTTTACTAGATTATAACAAAATGACGTATGTAACACCTATATTTAATACGGACAACATACCATGTTTTACATTTCTTCATAGAGCACATTTTCAAGATAACGATTTTCAAATAATAAAGTGGAATTCGAGGTAATATTGACTAAGATTTTATTTTCAAACTTTTGTCTTGGAGTAAAAAGTGTTTATCCTTAATATCTTTCACAAACTCAGATTTCCTTATATATTATATTTTAGCCACAAACTGAACACTTGGTTTTCATAGAAATAAGATGGCTGTCATACGAAGAACTGTTGTATTATATATAGCACACTACAAATAATAACATTTAGATTCCAATACTTGAACACCAATAAAATATTAAAATACTTCTTCTTAAAAGTGTATAATGCACATAAAATTATTTCAAACAGGACCTATTCTCCTTGGCGGTCTTACTTCACCCACAGTGGGGCAAAGCAGACATTTTAGTGCTGTTTATGAGAAATAAACAGACACAACACACTTTGATTCTTTACAATCGTGACTACTTACAACGGAGTGTTCTAGTTTTGTAAAATATTACCCAAAAGTTCGCATCAAATCAGAACAAGTAGGACGTTTTTCTGTCTGCTACTAATGCGAAACGTCCCTGGCCGCATACGTCACAGGCATTTTCTCAGGTCACGCGGACCATGTAAAAGCCTGGCTTCAGCGGCTATACACTTAATAATAAATTGATTAGCGGAAGTTCGCCTCATATCTTGTTAGTCTGTCGAACTACAGAAGGTCCATTAAAATACAGCGCTACGTTTTTAACGTGTTTCGAATAAAATATGCAGCTACAAGCAAATTACATCTAATGAGGTTCGCATGTCAAACAACAGAGTTAATACGTACGTTTTATAAAATGAAGTAGCTATTAACTTGCAAGTGATTAAGTAATATATAATAAATTCTGTCATGCAGCAATCAGAACCAAAATATTTGTACCTGGTAGACCATTATGGATTCAGTTCTTTTTAATGACAAAATAGTTACGTCTTTATTTTCGGAGGGGAAAAACATTATTTCATAATTTTAAGAAGAGTGGTGGGTTGTGAATGTTTAGAATGAAGATATAAATGTTTTCTAGCCCTACTGCGTTCAACACGAAATATTTTCCCAATTCTAAGCCACACGATCCGCCTCTGCTCCTTTCGAATTATCCAACTGAAAAATGTCAAATACCAAGACCATCTAAACTTTAATCGACAAATTGTAAGGGACACATCTCTCGGGTATTTTAATACATATAATAGTTTCTAAAATGTCGGATCCCACAAAAATATTATAAATTTCACATTGCCTACAGCTGGAAACATATAGGACATGCATGCCATCTGTTTCGGTACAAATGGTTTCTCAAGCAAGTAATTTGATGGACGTCAGTTTTCTTCAAGTACCGTTACAGCATATAACATTCTGCAGAAAATTTATCTAGCCAGCCTAGCAGTTTGGGAATTTTACTTTTAAACTACTGAAAGAGACCATTTCCGACGATGAAGGGAACTGAGAAACAACTGACCCCGACGAAATGTTTGGATCTAAATCTCATGTTACTCAAGTTGGGTCCAGTTTTCCCACTCGATGTCAGCTCATCAACATGGATAAATATTCTATACAAAGGCTACATCAGTATCACAGTATTTTTTTATTTAGTCCTAACTGCTTCTGCGCCCCTGTACATATTCTGCAGAGATTACCCTTTGGAGGTAGCAATCGAATTGATAAGCATTTTTATAACTCAGATAAGAAGCGGCATGAACATTGTGACGTTCATCATATACAAAAAAGAAATTCAAAATCTCATAACGTCCTTGTACAGAAACTTCTACATTCACGGGACAAACCTCTCGGCCGAGGAGTCATCCGTTGTTCGGGAAGCAATGGACCACGCGAGAAGCATGACCATAGGCTACGTCACCCTTTACAGCATCACTGGCTTATCAATGATCCTGCACCCCCTCACTTTCAAGTCAACCGATCTGGACCAGGATGACGCTTTTAATCACACAGAAGGACCTCACAGGATTCTGCCCTTTAAGACCTGGTATCCGAAATGGGACACCACGAAGAGCCCGCAGTATGAAATTGAGTACTTCGTTCAGGCCACGTTAACGGCTTTGGAAGCGTGGTGTGTGTCCTGCACTGATACCTTCTGCGTCACTCTGATGATCTACGCGGGCTGTCAGTTCGACCTCCTTGGCCTTGCGTTGAAGAACATGAACAAGAACATGAAATCTGACATTGGAGCACATAAAAAGGGAACAAACGCTTCTTATCCCATACAAACCCTTTCTCTGAATAACTCAACGTTGCCTGTGATACCGGAAGAAAACGAAGGTAAAATCCGAAATAATGTTAGCACCAGTGGTCGTTTGAAGGCGTCAGATGAGAGTACTTTACAAGACAAGGGGTGGGAGGACGGATACCATGTGCCACCTACGGTGAAATCCTGCATGCAAGTTGAAAGAGAAACCGCAACTTATATTAAAGAATGTATCAAGCACCATCAATCAGTCCTTGTGTAAGTACATTGAGTATACAGCTTTGTTCGTATAAGAAATGAAAGCAGAGAGGAATGGTAACACAGCCCAGGGTTCTATAGTTTACAGAGATGTTATGATGACAATCCATTGATCCCAGAATCTGAATATTCAATCCTGAATGTCTTCGGACACTTCTGATCAAAAATTTTAATTATATAAGTTTTTATCTATTTACCTCAGCATGTCGTTGGGCGCATTCTCTGACGACAGGTCGGGGTCTGTCATTTATCGGGGAAGTCTTAGTATCTGATATGTTTTCATACTCAGGCAATTATCATATATACAGAGTTAAGAACAGAAGGGTTAACAGTTAACATGTAAGTTTACGATTGCCAAATGCAATTATTTTTTGTTGGATTTTCCTCTTTTTCTTTCTTTCCTTCTTTCATTATTTATTCTTTCTTTCCGGTCTTTTCTTCGTACCTATATTTTACTTGTTGTCCTTCTTTCTTTTTTCTTTCCTTCCAATCTGCAATGCCATATTACTCGGAAGTAAGCTTTTACGTGTTTTAAATCAATATATATTGTGCCAATTATCCCACAGGTATGTCGCGGAAATGAATAAATGCTTCAGCACTCTTTTCTTCGTCTTGTTTATGACAGCATCACTTCTAATTTGTCTACTGGGATTTCAAGTTATCGTGGTAAGTTTTAAAATAAAGGCATGTCTAATGGCAATGATAAAAGTATTAAAACTAGCAATATTTTATTCTTAATTTGTAATCAGCTCCTAATCTATGTGTATTTTACTGAATTTATTATATTTAAAATAAATGTGTCTCTGTGATGTTTTTAATCATTCACCTCTTATCGAGATATGAGTACTCGTAAAACACTACATTGTTAGGAGAACATCTACCAACAGAAAGAAAGTAAACCCGCTACGTGTGTATGGACTAATTAGTGTACTTTAAGTAAATTAGTTCTCTAGTGTAATGCCGAGATTACAGTCCTACAACTTTATATTTCAAATTAAGGATAATAATAAATTGGAACAAGGTTGCCGATTACATTCTTTTGCCTGTACAGAAGCCACCGAGGGGTTTGATGTTCGTCAGGGTGTTACTCCATTGGTTATGCACAGTGTTTGAACTGGGTTTCTTCTGCTGGTACGGGTCTGAAGTCATGCACAAGGTAAAAACGTAAAAAGATTACAGTCCTGTTAAAAGTAATTCAAGAATTAAAGACGATTCCATAATAAATCTGACAAAGTAATCGCACAGTAAACATTTATATTCTACTGATAGATCTACTACGCAACCCACTTGGTCGATCCATCCATCCATCCAACAATTTCAGATTCCGTCTTAAAAGTGTTTTCTGTTGGGACTTAGGCCATTTCTGAATTTCAACAATATTTAATGATCTTGGAAATATCAAGATCGTGCTCTATGGTCTGTTTGGCGTTAGGAAATGACTACACCTCTTATGGCAACAGAGTTTTAAGGTGTAGGGGAAGAGTGATTTGAGAAATCGTCTACGTAAAACATTCAAAATTCGCTCAGAATAGCAGAAAAAAATCTCTGTTTGAAATCTACTGGAGTAAAACGGACTGCGCCAGGTGTTGAACAGAGAAAATCAGACAATGGTGAACCCTCTTACGTTTGTACATAAAAATAAGGGAAGCAGGCTGAATATTACAGTTCCAGTGTTTTTGCAGAGCGAGCGTGTGTACCAAAAGGCTTACGACTGTGCATGGCAGGACCTTTTCAGTGGGGCGAAGCAGTTCATCCCTGTGATCATCATGAGGGCACAGCGCCCGGCTGCAGTGAGAGCGGGACTCTTCGGGAACATTTGCCTGCCCACTTTCGGCACAGTAAGCCGCTCCAGAGATCTAAGAACCGACTGTACTAGCTGTATAAAACCATCTTTGCCTGTTTCATTCATTATTTTAATTTAAACAGTGTTTCGGATAAGAAATATTTAAATGAGCACGAACGTCATAGAGAATATACTGGTATATTTCCCGAACACGCAACAGTATTTACTCTGGATAGATCAAGTGTTATTCAGGGTACACTGACATTTAATTCAATAAGGAAATTTTTATTTAACATTGAAACTGAAGACGGGATATGGCAAACAAACGTAAATAAAGAACGCAGATGTTCGAAATATTTAGAACAGACACCTTAAAGGATATTTAAATCAATAAAATAACGTATTTACTGTTACGAAAAGCGATAAGTAACATTTTACGAGATATCTATCAGCAACAAATAAACAAAAAGAACAACGACGTACGCAACATTAAAAATAACGTGTCATATGGCGGACACATCACAAAATTTTCTTTTCATTTTCTGTTTTGCTTTGTCTTGTTCCAGCTAATGAAGAACGCTTACTCATACTTGGCAATCCTGCGACAGATGCACGAAGGAGACGGTGCCTGAAAATGTAGCTCACGCACTGGAATCTTCTAGCTTAAAGCACGTAGAGATGCTTTACGCATTAGGAACTGCTGACAGATAGATGGAATGACTACAGTTGCTACTTTAATCAAACACTACATGTGGAAATGCCAGTAGTATTTATCTGCAAGACTGAAGTCACTCAGTACAGAAGAATTTCACCTTCTACAACTAATACTTTTGGTTTTACGCACGAGAACTAAAAAATCCTTACTTGTTGTTCCCACTTAAATGGTCACATTTTTGTCTACTCAACATATCAATGTATGAATGAGCAAGTTTTAGGAAAATATATGTTACTGCGGATAAATTCGACAAATGCTTATATTTCTTATCAATCGTCCCTGCCTGAAAGCTTATCCTAGGCATGGTCACCAGACAGGTATCGCTGAATATCACAGTTAAATGATTATGCCTAAACACTAAAACATTTATCTTCACAGCATCACCAACCTCCATCCATTTTCCATACTAAAATACTTTCCACATCTCTCTGATCCCAAAAAACCAGTCTTAATACCAAACTAATTCACTTCCCTGGTTTCTTGCAAGTAAACTGTGTGTTATTCCCTATCCTACTCCAATTTCATATCACAATAAAATAAGCGTATAGAAATATTTTATACGTTAAGTTCTTTTCGAGATATCTAATGAAATTTGATGTGGGGTTAATGCAGGGGTTACACTGGAACAACATTCAGTGCAGACACAACGACATAATCTCGTAAATTAGAATAAAACGCATTAGTTTCATATCGACTAATGACTTTTCGGTCTGCTAGTAGCCTACCCTGCAGCACGAGTCGTCTCCCCTTCTTAAAAGTTCTCTATCCTGCAAACCCTTGGACTTACATTGACGTGACTTTGACATGGCGATGACATATATGTTACCTCAAACTGACATGAGTTATGTCTCTCGATTTCCTACAGATCGGGAGATATATGCCTTTGAAAAATTGACTTTCGAATAACCTTCAAAAATTAAAAGTTCTCTATCCTGCAAACCCTTGGACTTACATTGACGTGACTTTGACATGACGATGACATATATGTTACCTCAAACGGACATGATTTTTGTCTCTTAGATTCCTACAGATCGGGAGAAATATGACTTTCGAATACCCTTGAAAAATTAAGTATGCTGTATAGAACAAGTTTCAAATACGTAAACAATACAAAGGTTCTACAAACATTAAAATAGTTTCACTAACAGCGTTCTTCGATAGTTATTTCCTTGAAAATAGTTTAATTAATTTCTTTGTAAAAAGTTTGGTTTTATAAAATATAAGACATGATACATAAGATCTTTTATGGCCATGGTATTTCACTAATTCACAGCACAAAACATCGCATCAGGTTCTGTGTAAAGAAAGTAAAGTAATTAGCTTAATCGATGTTAACTTCCTTCACGTTACAGCATTAGCGCATAAAGTATTATTCAAGAACTTTTTCAAATGAACTGAGCAATTTGTCAGTTGTACTTTCAGAATACACTCTGCAAAAGAAGACGAGCTTTGGCAATGAGTGCTACTGGCAACAGACAGGTTTCGAGGGAATGTTTGGATCTGAATCTCATGTTTCTCAAGTTGGGTTCCATCTTCCCTCTCGATAAGGTCAGCTCATCGACGTGGATAAATATTCTATACAAAGGCTACACAACTTTCACGGTCGGATTGTTCTTTTCTGTAAGTGCAGCTGCTCCCCTTTTCATAATCTGTGCTGATTACACCTTGCAGGACGGAATTGAAGTGATGAGTATTCTGCTAACTCAAATAAGAAGTGGCATGAAACTTATTACGTTCATCATATACAAAAAAGAAATTCAAAATCTCATATTGTCCTTGTACAAGAACTTCTTCATTCACGGCAGAAACCTCTCGGCCGAGGAGACATCCGTTGTTCGGGAAACAATCGATTATACGAGGAAGATGACACTAGGGTACATCATACTTTATTGCACTACGGCCTTGTCGATGATCCTGCACCCCCTAACATTTACGCCAACCGATCTGGAGCAGGAAAGCGCTTTTAATCAAACTGCACGACCACAAAGTAGTAGACCCATACCCTTTAAGTCTTGGTATCCGAACTGGGACATCACGAAAAGTCCACAATATGAAATTGAATACTTAGCCCAGGCCACGCTAACGGCTTTGGAAGCGTGGTGTTTGGCCTGCATCGACACCTTCTGCGTCGCTCTGATGATCTACGCGGGCTGTCAGTTCGACCTCCTCGGCCTTGCGCTTAAGAACATGAACAAGGGCTTGAAATTTGACATCGGAGCATATCAAAAGAGAAAGAAAGGATCTTACCGCATAAAAATCCTTACCTTAAACGACAACTTAAGGCTGTCTGTAATAACAGAAAATGTTGGAAATAAACCCCACACGAATCTTAAAGAAATTAATCGCTGGAGCACATCAGATGTGACTGTTTTACAGAATAGTGTTGTTCAGTTTGGGTGGGAGGATGAAGACCAAAGGCCATCTACTGTGAAACCCTGCACGCAAGACGAAATAGAAGCCATGATGTATATTAAAAAATGTATCGAACATCACCACTCACTTCTCATGTAAGTAAACTACGCAGATTATACTGCATTGTTTCTGTAGATGTTTTAACACTAAGCCTTTCTGTTGAGAAGATTTAGAAAAGGTGGACAAACACCAAAAACTGGTAACTGAGACCAGGGTTTTTGTGATTACAGAAAGATTACAGGATTAGAATTCAACAGGCCACGTCCTGTTTCGGAGAAACTTACCTGAATATTCATTCAAGTTAGCCATTATGTTAATTACTGAGCTAATTCTGATCAGAAGTTTCTACTACACGTAAAACGTACATGGAGTCTCAAAAAGTTTAATAATACAGGATTTTATAAGGTGGTTACTTTCCCACGCCGTTTCAAATTCCACGTATAACAATTAAAACAACGAAATTAATAATTTGCTTCCCTCCTTTATTTTTTAAAAAAATTGAAACAAAAAATGTCATAAAGTAATGATAAAGAGTCATTCAGGAACACACGAATAAATCAGACTACTAATTTATAAACACAATCCGAAAGATAACAAGATCAAAAAAATGAAACTAAAATATAACAAAAAGATTCTTTTAAGGCATCAAACTTCTTCATATATTCAACGACTCAGTTTCAACTGCTTAGGTTATAAGCCTACGTGTCGAATGGGAAATTGATTGTGGACATGTGGTAAGGACGTAGAAATACGATGTCGTGGTCTATTCTAAAGATGCAATCCTGGTATATGCTTTTAAGGACTGAAGGCGACTAAGATAACGGCTAACAGGCAGTGAATCGAAACAGTATCTTCAGGATGCGAATCAGGAGTGCTAACAGCTAAACTACGATGTTCAGTTAGAGTATGCCGTTATTCGGAGACATAAATGGAGAAGAGACGGAAACAAAGAAACGAACATTCATGCAGTTCAATGTAACTTTTAAAATTAAACAAATATGTCTATTCATAAATACTGCACTACATAGACGTAAGAAATGGATAAGCATATTACCATACAGCCAATAAGAGCTGTGAATAACGAGTAGAAAAACACTTTCAGGTCTACATGTTTTTAAACCTTATAATAAGCTGATCTCTCCACAGATATGTTGCAGACATGAATACGGCTTTCAGCACTATGTTCTTTGTCGTGTTCTTGACAGCATCAATTCTGATTTGCTTGCTGGGATTTCAAGTTATTGTGGTAAGTTTCTAAGATGATGACTTTTATAATAGTAATAAAATAATTATAATATCAATTACAACAATAATTTGTAAGACAGTTTGACTATCGAAACAATATTTTCAGTGTATAAGAAATTCTTAACAGGCTACCAGCCGTGTCCTTTGTACTGAAAACTGCATAAGCATCAGACATCATCAGATTGTTCAGTTATTCTAATTACAAACCAATAAACTACGCACCATCATTACAATTTATCTCAACAAATTTAAACTGAGTTTAAGAAAATGTTCTGAAAATTACGGAGGAAGTTCTAGATGTCTAAGGAAAAAGTTATCATTTATTCTGACACCGATGCTTGAAAGAAATGTGTATGAACTAAGCTGAGGAACGAGGTTGCCGCTTACATCCCTTTTCCTGTACAGATGCCACCGAGCGGGCTGATGTTCATCAGGGTTTTACTCCATTCGTTATGCACAGTGTTTGAACTGGGATTCTTCTGTTGGTACGGGTCTGAAGTCATGCACAAGGTAAAAAACGTTAAAAGATTGAGAAAATGTTGAAATACAGCAGTATTAGAATTTTATTTGTAAAACTTATGTCGCCTAATAAAATACTCTATTTACGTTTCACATTGATCAAATGTCGTTCCTTGTTAGGAAGATGACAAGTTCAAATCTCGTCCCAAACACAGGACATTCTGACTGAAGTTCTTCATGGTATTCTTCAGTCCCTCTAAGCCAGTGTTGCGGCACACTAAATATTGTCGAAGAGTCATGGCGGCACACCAACCTCATTTTGTATATTGTGGTGGTGGGGGTAAATAGTTTGACTTGGCCGCGACAACTTCTTACAAATCGACCCCAACCGAAAAATGTTCTATTTGATGTTCATAATTATCCATCTTTATTATTATCATTTACTTGAAATATATCCATCATTTGAAATAAATTAAAATATATTCATACATATTATTTAATCAATAAATCTTATTCATATTTTTATATGTATACTATATGTAATTATTTCAAAGTATCCAAATCAGTTTCCCGCGGCCCAAATATCCCACTGCATATAAACATTTTATGGAATATGACCGTCATTTACAAACACTGGATGTGAGAAGAGAAAACATTAGATTCAAAATAAAGCTAAACGTCAATAATTACCTAATTACAAAAAATTCTCTCTTCTTTCTTCTTTTTCCGGTTTAACAATGTTTGTACATTTTCCGGTACCATTTACGGGTCCCCAACTTTTTCATTTGGCTTGATCTATGGACATTCGGTAGGACTCCTTGGACGAGGGATCGGCCCTCCGCAAGGCCATTACAAAAAATTATAATTAATTTAATAGTCATGTGGTTCCTATTTACTGTCGCCTCACTTTATTAAGCTTACTTAGTCTAAACACATTTCATTTCCCGCCGCTTACTTTATGCAAGAAACAATTACACAACAGCAAATAATTACGTGTTCTCGCAGAGCGAGCGTGTGTACCAAGACGCATACGAATCTGAATGGCAGGATCTCTCCAGCGGGGCGAAGCAGTTCATCTGTATGATCATCATGAGGGCACAGCGCCCGGCTGCAGTGAGAGCTGGACTCTTCGGGGACATTTGCCTGCCCACATTCACCACGGTAAGCCGCTCAGGTATAGTAAAGATAAGTCCCTGTGCTTAAGCAATACAGTATGTCCCACTTAACGTGGAACCCGCCATGACAGTATGACACAGCAACAGCGAGCTAACTAGCGGGAAATGAGCTAGTCACAACGCAGATCATTTCTGTCGTATGCTGTTATGTGAGTGACTAGTTTTCCTGCTTCATACTGGGTGAAATTATAGATTCGAAACTTGCCCTGGGGTTCAGCTGAAATATAGCAGAAGTTCTAATCCGCAGCTTATGGGAAATGCCACACTTTCAAAAAAATTGTATCGTCTTACTTTTCCAGCTCCTGAAGAATGCCTACTCTTACTTGGCGCTCCTGCAGCAACTTCACGGTGGTGGTGCCTGAAAAAGGCAGCCCACTTACTAGAATCGTGTAGCTGCGAGCACAACACAAAGCTTCTTCACACGTTAACGCCTACTCACAATTCAACAGGATGGTAATCAGTCAGTACACATGGAAATAAAACTTATTATTACAAGACTGCCATAGTTCTAAAAATGTTTTCAGAGTTCGTCTAAACGGGTTTACTATCATTAAAACCGACGTTCTATCGGCAGTTGAAGACGCAAATGTTGGTCTTCCGGGTTGCAACGCCGGCGTCACAATGCAGTAAACCAGCATCGACAAAAGAACTTGTTTATTTAATAACGCTATAAATACCTCACTAAACATCAGATAATAGGATAATGAATGAACTGGAAACTATTTGAAAGGTAGCGTTCGTCGCTTACCTTAAGGTGGTAGCCCTGAATGCTGCTTGATGTACCGAGAAAAACCACGAACAACTTTATTCAGAATAGACAGTCGGTGGGCCGAGATTTGAACCCCAAAACTCCTGAATACGAAGCAAGTGAGATAACCAATCAGCCGCTACATTCGGTTATGTAGTCTAGGCCTAGATTTGGTCCGATTTTAATGGCCATATTTTCGCCTACACAGTCTAGAGACGATAATCCTAGATAAGCCCTGGAGTAGTGGCGCAGAAGTCCTGGAGAGGTTATGCGGAAATTCTTAAGTCATGGTGATGTGCTGGAGAATTCCTGCAGAAGTCCTGGAAAGGTTATGTGGAAGCCCTTAAGAGGTGGTGTTTTTGATCCTTTGCTGGTCGGTTAGGTTGGATTTGGTTAAGTTGCATTATGATACGTTACATTGGGTTAGGTTAGGTTTAGTTAGGTTTGGACAGGTTAGGTTATGTTCTCTGCTCTGAGACGTGGAAGGAGGGGGCTGCGCATGTGAAGGAATAGCCATGACAAGTACTTGGTTCTGATTCCAAGAAGACAAGCATTTTGATATTCGCAGCTGTGAGAACCTGAAATATCATCTCGGAGGCATAGATTTCAATCTGACTTACACCTGGTTTGTTTATCGGCACTTTCTTCACCGGCCAGTTCGACGTTTGCTTTAACCTCTTATATGCTATTAGATAAAAGTAACAAGCGGGCCTACACCAAGCCTGTATTCTTTTGCAGTAATGAACTCCGTAATATTTGCTGCAGGTGTGTTTTTCTCATGTTAAATTATTTATGTCAACCTGGGTTTGCTCGTTGCTGTAGTGTGCCTTAACTGTTGTTATATCACAAGTGCGACAAAAATGTACTCGAACTGACCTAATGACCTTGTTGTTGTTACAATGGGGTGATACAATGTCTCTGTGGAACTGGGGCAGCAAAAGGGCACATCTTTCATCTTCCAGATTATTCATGAGCGGTAGAACGATACTGAAATAGGAAATATAATAACAATTCAAAGAGTGTAAGGATGTAAGTTTTAAACGTAATACAAATATAATAGAAACGTAATGAAAGGTAATTAAACATACCAGGTTGTATTGTGATGTGTCGGACGTCTGATATCCACAGACGATAAACTGCAACTGAAATGTGTATGCCGCGTGTGGTTATATATATAGGGAGAAAGTGTTATGGAAATGGGTCGATGAACTGTATATCATTGAATATAGGGTTGTTTACTTGGATGTTGTTGTCATTTAATGTAATTTAATCTATAAACGCAATGCACAAATGTACAATAGTTTTTAAAAATATATGAATTGATAAGCCTGATGATGATGTGGTAAACATCGAAACATGTCGTCGAAATCAAAAGCGCTGTGATAAATGTAATATTATACGACACAGAAAAGCGCCATAAAATATAACATAATGCAATTTATATTGTAAATGTTATAAATAATTTTAACAACATTATTTTAAAACAAGTTTTGTGTATAGACTGGAAAAATAAATATATGTATTGATATAACACAAACATGACGCAATTAAGATACAAATTGATACTGAAAGGGTAAAACCGAAGGACAGAAAATAACCTGTCCCCGTATACGTCAAGGCTATGCATAACCTTAAAGTCAATATCAGGTTGTAGTCTTTCTCCGTCCGGAAAGGAAAAGAAGGCTTAAATATCAGTAACCTACAAGCGTCTGTCTGCCTCCACCAATAACTTTAGAATGGATTAATAAAATAAATTATGAAAACCACTGATTATTAACAACACACTTACTAATACCATGATAGTCAGAAAGAAAGCGTTTGCACAAATGTCGAGGTTAAACGTTTAACAAGCATGCGTTTTTATTTAAGAGGCCCCGGGATCAAATCTCGACCTGGAGGTCGGCTAATCTGAGGTGTTTTTACTTTTCATACGTCCCTCCAAGAATTGCCAGCATAATATCTCAAAAAGGGCCATGGTCGCTTACTTCTACAACATTTCAAATTCGTCATAAAAGAATAATCATATAACTTAATCATTTAAAAATTTGTGTTAAATCAAGATTCAACTGATGAATCCCATGACTTTCTCAGCGAGGTCAAATAAAACTGACTCCAGTGTATGCTCCCGAAGTTTTATATAATGTTAAATTTATACAAAATAATATTTCGCCAGATTTCATTCTATTATAATGACAAAATGGTGTACGGGAGAAGCTTTTACTTTCTGATTTGACGCTGGACGTTCAGTGACGACATTTGTACTCTGATCAGATATCGAGGAAGTCCTGCATTTATCGTATTTATTGCCATTAGAAGTTATCGAGATGAATAGAACATATTTAAATTTTAAATGCAGAAATTTTTCCATGTCACCGGGCTAGTAAATTGCAAGTCTTAAAGTCTGGGTCATTAGGTTATATTACGCGGTTACTTTGCGAAACTTTGATGATGTACCAGGGAGAGAGATGGTTGTGAATGATGTATCAGAAATTATCTGGGGGGAAAAAGAGGCTGTATCTTGTGTTAAGGACTGGGACTATACGACATGGGTTTCTTTTACTGAAAAACGAAGAAAACTATCACATGAGCGTAAGCGGTTGGACTGAGAGGAGAATTCAAATAATAGATGTTAGAACCGTGTTAATTTGCTCTGTAGAAATTGTTGCGTTATGTTATTCTAACATACGATATGTGCATTTTTATTGAAGCAGAACTTATGATCGCACCTCATTATAGGTTAATATTCCAGCTGGGTGAATCCACTCGTTTATTATGTAAAAGTGATTCATTTGGGAAACAGAATTACAACTTTGCTAACTAGATAAAACTTTTCAGATACGAAAATCATTAACACAGGGAGGTTTCCTTCTACTAAGAAGTTTTCTTGTATTACGCTACAACTTCTGCAAACTTCTCTTGTCATTACACGGCCACTTCACTTTTTATGCAGATTCTAAGAACGCTGGCATTTGATAAATAATTTCAACAAAACGTACAGACTACAGTTTGGAAAGGGGGAGGGTGGAAAACTAAGGCCCGTAAAAAAATTCAGTCTGGCTCGTGACGAGGTTTGACTTGTTACTTACATGACCTTTAATCATTTTATATTTTCTCGTACAATAGTACATAAAATGTATTGTACTAGAATTGTAATGAAGATTTTCGCTCGGATCAACGCGTTAACTATACTTCAATTTACTTTAACGGAACGAAAGGTCACACACCCAAGAATGAATTCGTGAGATAAACCAATACGAGTTTACCATTTCGAATACAAATTATTAATACTATTATGTTGCCTTCTGGAGTATACTTAGTCAGAGGGAACAATCAGTAGCTATTAAATAAAATTTAAAAGAATATTTCTCTATGCCACTTCGAAATGAGCCCACCTGGCCTTCAACTAAAAATAACTCCTCATCTCGGGTTTAACGAATGTATCTATAGGAACGGAAAGAAGCCAGTGTCTCTCCTCTTTACGTTATATATTAAACCAAAACCACATAATTTTATTAGGAACTGAAATAAAAATATCTATCAATCCTAAAATACATGGGCCTATTAATACATGTAGTTTATCTTACACGCCAAGATCTCCCAACTACTCTCTTCAAACCAGGCAATGTGACTAAAAGCTTGCATGAATTTATATCACCATGTGTGCTACAAGTTCCGCCCATCACATAATTATTGATTAAACTAATCCCATTAATATGTTACATACAAAGTCGATTGCGACATGAACATAAATACATGAAAACGAGCCACAAAGTATTTCCGCTGAGAAATAATGTTTATAAAATGGACAGTATATATGCTTCCTTACTCGCTACCCCGCCCACCTTCCTGATCCCATCAACTTTAATTTTTAACGGACGTCGAACGCGCAGATTTTCCCGGATTAAAATACGTACTCTGCTTGATTCGGAAAACCGAGTTATTCCCTATCTCTATTCCTGATGACAAATGAAGATCCATCCTCTGAAACTTTCTGCTTTTTAAGACAAATAAGTTAGTAATACATCAACATCGACATAAACATTCAGAGAACAACTAAACCAAATTCTTGTCACATTCGCCATTGCTCTATTTTAAGAACATGTTACATGGATCCACATATTACTTTACGTAAGTATCCAGTTAAGGAATGGTAAAACTGAAGTAGCAGAGCAGATCTAAAACATAAAATAGCAGCTTAGTAACGATGTGTGGAATGAAACTAGATTATTGATGCAGCAGGATCGTAAAAAATCTTTCAGAAAAAAAGAAAATACGACGTGGTTAAAGAGGGACTATGATTTTGTTCCAGTAATACACGAAAACCAAACTTATTTTAAATTGTGAGGAGAAAATACGAATGGAGCAACAAGGCTGCCTACGGACCAATAATGCTTTATATAAATTATTAATTCCAACCTTTTTGACATGCAATATATGTACATACGCACTCGCCTCTAGCACTTGCTACAGCAGTTCAGAGCTCAGCAAAATAAAATGGACACTAAGGGGGAAATGAAATTGGACGAACTGGATCCGAGGGAAATTTTATCTTTAAATCTCAGGTTATTGAAAATTGGGGGGATATGGTGGCGTGATATGGGCCTAACAGGAAACCTCCTTTACCGTTGCTATGAGAGATTCGTCATCTTACTCTACTTCAGTTTCAATATTACTGTGTATCTGCATGCGATACTCGCAGAAGAGAACGTTGCAGAGTTCAGCGAGTCTCTCCTTGTTTGTGTCTGTCAAGTTCTTCACGGTACCAAGCTAATTCCCGTCGTCTTACGCAGGAAAAAGATGACAAGTCTTACAGTTAATTTGGAAAACAACTTCTATATTCATGGAAAGAATTTAAACCACGAAGAAAAATCCATTATTAAGAATGCAATGTCTCTGGCAAAGACGACCACAATTCTATACTTCGGTAGTCTATGTGTGACTACCTCCGTCATGATCCTGACACCACCAACACTAGTACTGACTTCGGGGCTAGTGAACTCTACCATCAAGCAAGGACACGGCCTTCTGATCTGGAAGGCATGGTTACCTGTAGATGCAACGGTATATCCGTACAATATATTCGCTTACATCCACCAGGTCGCTTTGACTTTCGTAGAAGGGTGTTTTATTATTGGCGGCTTGAATGCTTTCTACCTTGTTCTAATCATTTATACAACTTCTCAGTTCGAACTTCTGTCTTCATCCCTGAGAAATGCCACACAGAACATTCGAGACCAAATTAAGAAGGATTATACAGTTAACAAGGACAGTTCTGGAGCAGACACCAGCATGCTAGTAGTTACGAAGGCTGCAGAGGTGATTTATATACAGCAAAGATTTTCAGATCGAAGCAGTGAATACAAGGCATCATACTTCAAGTACGACGAAAATAAAGTGTCATCTTATATGAAAGAATGCGTTCAGTACCACCAGAACCTACTTGAGTAAGTACACACGAATTAATTCCACGCAGAAGCGCCCTTTTTAAAAACTTAAAAAGAACCGCTTTATATGAAAGAATCTAGTCTACACCCACAAATCCCGTACACATATTACATAATTTCAGTCTAACATTCCCATAAATAATTTTAAAATCGGTTGTTTTCATATCAGATCTAGAAGTCTGGCATATCGTAACTCTGTTTCATTTACACATAACATTTCTCCGTCCATTCATCTAGCTTAGATCACGTTACAACTTTGTTTTCAAATATCAGTACTCTATAACGGAAAAATACCTCAAAGACGGCACAGTCGCGAAACATCCTACTACAAGTTTCTTCCAATACTTTTCCCTACTTTTCACGCTCTTGTACACCTACAGATACTTAATTTTGCTGTTGATAAACTGAAATGTGTAAAGGCCAACTATTTCACAAGCATTAAAAATAAACTCTTCTCGCACTAATCAGACATGGTTGCTTTAGAACTGCCTAGACAACGAGCCTCGACCCGTAGTCCCCAGCAACGAGTTTAGAAGACAGACAAGGCTGTAACAGTTATTGGTCTGACTAATTAATAAGACATCCAGAATTTATTCTTGTACCTAATTTTTGCTGTAACACGAAAATAAAAGATCTAATGAAATTAATTGCTAATGCAAATTTATGTGTTCTCAGATACGCTAACGACCTCAATGAGATGCTCAGTCCGCTACTCTTCATGGAACTTCTCACAGCTTCGCTTATTATATGCATGTTGGGGTTCCAGCTCATTCTGGTAAGCTCCATATAACACATTTTTATATAAAATTTGATGCTGGGGAGTTTTACTAAAACTGTAGACGCATTCCAATTGTTGTTGAAATCGTAAAACGTTCTTATTCAAGAGTGACTTAAAACGCACAAACCGTTAAACGGAAAAGCACATCTTGATTGCCCATGAAAAATAGTCTGTTTAAAAACTATCTTTCATTGTGTTCGCTTGTGACATTTATTTAACAATAATATTTCTAACAAATTGTGTTCCATTCATGCAGATGCCTCCGAATATCAAGTTTTTTCAAATGCTGACTCACCTCTTCACTGCTGTGTTTGAATTGGGGCTTTTCTGCTGGTTCGGTTCCAGCCTCATTACCCGGGTATGTGTAATTCAAAGCTTAAGAATAAGATAGGCTTGTAACAAAGCTGTCCCACTATACGCCATGTAGGCGCTTGGGGGGAGTGGAGGTATAGCTCCTACTCATCCTTGACCTCGGCACTAGATGGGGGTAAGTGGTCACAGCATCACCCCGGTACCCATTGGATAGGAGGCTGGGTGGGCCCCAGAGCCAGTCTGGATGCAGAGACTAGTGGAAAAAAAAAAATCCTCTGACCACGTCGGGGATCGAATCCCGTTCGCAACCAGTCACTATACCGACTGAGCTACGCCAGCTCACTAAGATATGCTTGTACTGTTTGTTTCTATTTTCCCCAAAAGCGCACACACACACACACACAGGTGAATTTAATTTAAACACATTTCCAATTTATTTAATTAAAGTATAAAACAGTGGTAAGCAAACAGGTATTTGGAGCATTTGAAACTTAAAATTATTACAACTAGGTTACATAGCGCCGCACATCGTGTATAATTGCAATCAACTTCGAATGCGATTTAAAAAATAATGTAGGTCTACAGATTACATTTAAACGTTCCAAGTAGCAACGCTGTATTATTTGATTATCAATTTAATTATGAACCACACGTGAAAGCAGACTATTTCGGAACCTATTTCATGTAAAAAACATAATTAAACAATTCTGAATTGATACGTTGAGGGTGAAAATTACTATCTTACGGTATGCTGTGTCATGTAGTATGGCACATATTAACCGACGTTTCAGAAGCGCTTAATGCTTCCATCATGATTGCAGAGTGAAGAGGTGCACAACGCAGCCTACGAGTGTGGATGGTACGACATGTTGCCAAAGGCAAAGCGACATGTGCAGATGATTATCACGAGAGGACAGAAACCTGTTGCCCTCAGAACAGGGCAGTTCGGCTTGTTGTCCATGCCACTATTCGCAGAAGTATGGTTCGTTCGAAATCAGTACAACCATTTGTTGTAAGAGAACATCAACATAAAATGAGAAATTGTAGTCATTGCAAAATAAATTAACTCTTCCATATAACGGAGGTGGACCGGTGAACTGTGGCCACGACATTAACCATTACGGTTCTTAGAGCTTACTTCTGCCACAAGCACTAGAGTGCAGCACTGGCTGAAGAACACAAAGCTGGAATGTCTGCAATGTACACGCACGTATTCAACTTTCGCGATCGCGTTAACTTGTCAGTAACTTGTCATTTATTTGTTGCAATACCCAGCCATTCAATTCCTTTTTAAATACGCTATCGACGTGTTTTGAAATTCCTGTCTCCGTACAGACAAAGAACAATTATATACGTACAAACCATACAAATTTCAGTCTTGTATTGCTATATGGTAATCGCAATTGAATTTCATGACAATCACAATCAAATTTAGAGTTCGTACATAAACAGTAATATGTCTGATGTTTGTAGGATTTCCTTTTATATGACTTTTCCTGTCACTAACTGAACCATTCTCTCATTACAAATAGTCACAAATTGGATGTATAAACGAAGCTGTAACTACGAGACAAGAGAACTGCAACCTGCCTTCATAATAAGTAGCAATTAAATAAAGGCAAATAAGTTATTCGGCATATTACACAACTTCGTGCTTAAGATTGCTTACTGATTAGACTTGTGGAAATAATAGTAAGACAGTTCTTGCAAATGTATTACGCGTTTCTTACGTTGCTAAATCACTAAGAACTCGAATATTGGCACCTTGTTTTAGGATTTATTAAAACTGCAATTTTCTTTGCAGCTGATGAAGGCGTCCTATACATACCTGGCTATGCTGAAACAACTTCAAGAAGGGTGAAATCTTAGTTAATAACGGAAAAAACTATGTCTGTGCTGAGTAGGTACTCGTCGACACATTTCTCTCCTTTTCACCCGATTACTAAAACATCTCGTTTCCGAAACGTGTTCTGTTTGGAATATGGAACATATCTCAGAAACCCAGTAATACGTAATCGTAGATTATGTTCTATGCATGTTATCCAATAAGCTGGTATAGTACCAAAGTAAAGTTGACGGGGATTCCGTCATTTAGATAAAACGTCCTGTCTACATGACACCTTGTAGAAAACATATTCTGATATGAAAAGCATCTCAGGTAGAGCAACCATGTGACTATATCTTGAATTATGAAAAACTGAGGAAAGGTAAATATTTGTCTCTTTACTACCAGCACCTAATAGACAAAACGTCAAATTAGATACTATTATGGAGATGAAAGTGTAACCCACAACATTTCAGACATCTTTTGTAGGTTATACACAGATACGTATGTCTAGGACTAGGCCTAAGATAAGCGCATGATGTTCATGTACTCACCGTAAGAGATAAAACAAAATCACGCTGCTTTAGTGGAGAGTTATAAATTCACACGTCTAAACTGTTGTACAGCAATTAAAATAAACACACACATTTACTCTTAGAAAATATTGTCGTATCTTCAAGTAATCTGTGACCCCTTATAAATAGATCACCCAATGGTGACCTGCTGTTATAAAATTTCGTACTTATACCTAAGTGTCACCGTGGCATTCTTATTGTATTATTTGAAATGTAATTTTTCTTTAAATATTAGTGCTATATAATATTATAAATCTATAATGGCTCAATGAATATGACTGCTATTTCAATGTAGATAGAGCTCAATTCCAAGAGAATTCCTAGCACAGATTATTATCCTGGGGCAGTGGTTTTCAGGTTTCTTCACTGATGGCACCATAAACATACAAATTTATTTTGTGGCATCCTCATCGGATTGCCCATCATTGCATTTTTCTCGAGACGTAAAATCAGTCCTTAGTAACCCTGAACTGATTTAGATACATCACAGAAGTGAAATGAATAACATGGAGGGAGCCAAGTAAATTGAGAACAAATTGTAATAGCAATGAAAATGGAAGAACCTAGGATGTCTAAATTCTCTGACGTACTTGGCGGGTGTCCAATGATCCCCCTTTCCCAAAATTGTATTAATTTTTAGCATATCATCTACGATACACAATCATATAGTAAGAAATTAACTTATTACATTGGAGCAGAAAATGAGACTTGGAACAAGGCTAATGGCAGCACGGAATAGGTTATTATGGAACAGAGGAAGGAAAACCAGAGAATAAGTTTAAAAAAAAAAAAAAAATTGGAGAAAATTTACAGATAAACTACTGGAGGCAAATTAATATGGCATGAACACGTTTCAAGAATAAATGAAGAGAGAATTCCAAGGACAGTTCTGAATTTGAAAGTAAAAGGAAAATGCCAAAGAAAGAGGCAGAGATCAACAGATTATGAAAGATGTCACGCAGAAAGAAACAAAGCAGAAAATTACGAAGAAGAGGCGTTATGGAAAGAGAGAGATGGAGAGGTTCGGTTGTCAGACCACCAACATAAAGTGGAACAAGTCTCAAGCTTGTGTCCACTCAGTAAGAAATACGCACACCCGTCATAAGATTAACTTTCAAGAATAGGGTTTATTTTCACTGTAAAGTACAATTTGTAGATACATATTAAAAATATTAAAAAAGGTACAGTACTTAACTGCATGGATACAAAACGTACATTTTTGTTTGTTTTGAAACATTACTCTAACAGATCTACAAGGTAAGTTTACCAAATTGTGTATACAAGTTTTACTTAATAAGAAGTAACAAAAGAAAGTTCACATCAACTATCTGTCGATCACTGTACTGTGGAAGTTTAGTTCACCCTACTTCATGTCATGTCATTTTGTACTAAAAGTATAGACCAATCACTGCATTAAAACCCTTGGTCTTGTGTGACAATACTAAAAAGTGTACTTCAATCACCGCATCAAAACATCCAGCCTTGTATGAAAGTGACGTCAGGTGAAGGCACATCTGGTCCCGTTTATAAGACACTGTATAATCCATGCAGTAGAGACAGTATGTTTCCCCAGTTCTTTTACTTGCTCCTGAATATCAACTGGAAAAGCGTGATTGGAGACCAACACATCCAGTTGTTTTAAGTCTTCAATGGCTGTAGGCAGAGAATAAAAATCTTGTAATTAAATAATTATGCAAAGGATATTAAGTGTTAAAGTTGTACAGATAATTATGGGACACAGTGTATAACCTAAATACAATTGCTGTTTTCAAAATGTAGACCTAGATTTGGGGGTCCGCAGTGGCCGCGCGCTCTGAGGTGTGGGCCATGTGCCGCTTGGTCGCTGGGACCATGGGTTCGAATCCCACTCGAGCCATGGATGTATGTCCGCGTTTTTCTGTGTTGTGCTGTCCTGTGTACAGGTAGATGCCTTGCGACGGGCCGATCCCTCTTCCAAGGAGTCCTATCGAATATCTATCGATCGAGCCAACGAAAAGTTGGGACCCGCAGTGCTCAGGCACTTGAAGAACGGGTCGTTCCCAGTATCCAGTATGAAGAATCAAAATGGAGATATAGTGAAAATCAACTATGAATATATATATTATCCCTCAGGTATAAAATTTTTCCAATTAACCTTTACCATCCGTTCGATTATTTAGGTGCACAACAACCAAGTCCTCAGAAATTAGCGCAACTTTCACTTTAACGGCGAAACCTTTCAAGAACGCTTCTGGTTGACAAAAATGTCAAGGACAGGAAGTGAATGATCAACAACAGCCCAAGTCTCTGTTGTTGAAACACTCTGAGTAAAGAGTTATCAATTAATTTATTGAAGGTTTAAAGATTCGATCAATAAGGCACGTTACTGACCAGATGTCAGAAACTGAACATCTAAAAATTTATGAAATCAGCATAAATGTAGCAAGACGCTCATGTAACAATTCCCATTACTTTCATCCAGTCACCTATTCAGTTCGTCCACACACCCAGTCATCATTCCATACCAACAAAGTGCCTCTAATTTTTAGTGTTTCACTGTAACATCAACGTTGAAGAAAATTTGCTTGATGCTGTTTCTACCAAATTTTGTGGCATTTTCAGTGGCAGATGAAACCAAGGATTGAGTATTTCCTATAAATATCACTTAGCAGTGTTGCTATTATATATTAATGCATCCCTGACATGAAGTGGACAGTATCTTTATTACAAGCACAGTGAAAAGAAAATAACTTACTTGTTTCTGGTGTAATACCAAATACATGTGCACCTGCTCCTTTTAGCACAAGTTCCCAAAAATTTAAAAAACATTTTGTTTTACTGACTACTCCAATTTTCATAGAAGCCAGCGGCCGCTTCTTCTTTTTTGTCACATATTCCCGCTTTTCCAGCGACCAGCCAGTTGGTACAAGATAATTTGTAATTGGCTTACAAATGTTTGTCTGTAATGAAAACAAGAAAGACATACTACAGCAGTGTTCACTATTTCTTAGACTTCATTCATATTATAAATAAAACAATAAAATTATATTACTTTAGGGTGGGCTGATTCAGATATCCAAGACCAGTTAAAAGCAAGAAAATTCACTTATTATAATTCGCATTACAGTTAACTAAACATCTACATCAGCACACTATACGAGGGGAAGTCAAAAAGTTCTTGGAATTGTGGTATAGCACAATAATGGTAGGACATATGGCAATGCTTACCTAATCACCTTCAAAGTAGGACCCTTGCGCACACACACACACACACTTACTCCATCGATCCTGCCATTGTTGGAAGCACCGGCGGAAGGCTTCGTTTGGAATCTTCCGGAGTTCAGCCATCACATTCAACACATCGCTGGTTGTGCAGCAATTCCTCGCCGAGAAAAGCATTCCCGTCAACATCCAACCACCATACTCTCCGGATCAAGCTCCGAGTGACTTCTGGCTGTTCCCTACTCTGAAAATGGGCCACAAGGGGGCGAGTTTCGCAACCATGGAGGACATCAAATCGAATGCAACCGCCGAACTCCGGAAGATTCCAAACGAAGCCTTCCGCCGGTGCTTCCAACAATGGCAGGATCGATGGAGCAAGTGTGTGTGTGCGCAAGGGTCCTACTTTGAAGGTGATTAGGTAAGCATTGCCATATGTCCTACCATTACTGTGCTATACCACAATTCCGGGAACTTTTTGACTGCCCCTCGTGTAACAAAGAAGTGGCCTTAACAAATGATTTATAGCTGTAAGTAAAATTCAGTTGGACAATGTCCATCATCCAAATAAATAAAACATAATCACAGCATTTTGGGGGCTGACTCTATCTCAATAAAAAAAATACTCTGGAAGATCCATTAGATAAAACTAGCCCTTTTAACTGAGTATACTTAATGCTTTTCTTCTACCAATAGATGGAGACAGAGCTGAAGCACTATATACATATTTAAGATTTGAGGTTTTCACAGCGGTGAGTATGAAGATTTCTGTCTTCTGGGTTGTTGTGCTGTGCCTCCGTCATCAGGGCGATTCATCGCCCTGATGACGGAGGCAGTATGACCTCTGAAACGTTGGTAACCATCGACCAGACTAC